CCTTTTCCCATATTAATTAGTAATTCTAGTCTTTCTGCAAAGTTTACCAAAACATAAGTCAGGATTAACAGTAACTCTGCAACTACTCTAAAGACACAAAAAAATACAGCCAAACAAAAAAACCCAAACCAATCCCCCAAAGAAATCCCATTGCATATTTATTTTAGCCTCTTTTAAAAATATAAGTGACAGCAACTACTCTGCATTCAAATATTTTGAGAGAGAACCATTCAGGCATTGTCGCAGCTTCTGCTACTGATAAGGAGGGAGAGTTTCAGTTATGCAGAACAGGTAGGGTGAAATTTGCTTTTTTATTATTAAAAAGAAAGAAAGTCTCATTAGTGTTCAGGACACAGAAGGTCTCACAGCCCTTCGCTAAACATCCATATTTCTTCAAAAATGAAAATGCATTTCTTCTGAGGCCTGTGAAAAATTTAATGTGTTAGAAAAAAAAAAACAAACAAAACCCCAACCAAAAAATGAGCACAGCTCAGACTTCTGAAAAGGAATACTGCTGGGAGTGCCAGTGACTGGAGGGCCACCGCTTCACACGGCACCAGTGAGACCCACAGTCAGTCTGGAAACACCGACTCCAGCTCATATGTGCCAAAACCAGACATCACAAATCAGGTCGGGCATCCTTATTGTACAAGACGAACACTAAGAATTTCAGTACAAAATGAATCCGTCTGTGCCTACGGAAGCCTAAAAAGGATGGGGTTTCTTGCGCCAGATTATTCAAGCAAGACAAAGCTCTGTGCATCTGATCTGTGACTACGCAAGTTATCAACAAATAATATGCAACTCGTCAATAAAAGGAGACCTGTTGTTGAAATCAGCCTACACAAACATACCAAAACCATGGAAGATCTTATATGACAATGCTCTCAACTCTGTTGTTATCAGGAATTAACTTGAATTCCTCGATTCAAGAATGAAAAGCTAAAAAGTTGGGTGCTCTAATTTACAGAGACTTACGAGTTTCAAACACGATATACCACAACGTTTATATTCACCGTCGGGACTATCATTCCCCCAAGCCTCATTAAAAAAAAAAAATTAAAAAAAAAATAATCACATTTTGAACACTATTCAAAATGCAACTCAGATTCAGTTTTGTTTGTTTGAACAAAACTGGTATGAATGGCAGAATATTTAATAATGTTGAAGAGATAAGACTTAATGGTAACTGCTATAAATAATTAGAGTAAGTACCATTTGTCCCTCTACAACAGAAAACAATACTGACAGCATTTTTCTTAGCTGTAGCGGCTTTGTTATATTCCAGACTACAGAAAGCGGCATAGGACAGGTGAAAAAAAAAAAAACAACACACCAAACAAACCAACCAGCCAACACAAAACCCCACTATTCTTCTGGGTTTTGAAATATTTTTCATGTCAGTACAGAACTTCTAACTCTTAAATAGTAACTCCATTGCCAACTCTCAATACTACCCAAAACTCATAATACGCTGCCTTCCACTTTAGGTGACCGGAACTTTTAGTTTCCCTAAATCAGTCCTGAAATCCCAATGAACTGAGATGATAATCCTGTTTCAGATTTTCATTTGGAATTAAACAAAAAAAATAAAAAAAGCTGTTTTGTTTGCGTTTGTTTTGTTTTAACTTAAAGCCAGGGGATGGTTGTGGGCAAAGAACAGAGAATTAGCTAATGTAACGTGGCGAGAGAATCCACTATGAGAAGACTTTTGCATAAGAGTGGGACAGAAACAAGACAAAGAGCATTCAGAAATGGAAAAAAAAAAAATTAATTCTTCAAGTGTAGCTGTGAGAGACAGAAAGAAAACACCACAGGAGATATTAGAAGGATGCAATAGAGACATATTAAGGACACAGGGAGGCTGTTAAGTCAGCCTTAAAATAGAAGTTCACTTTCATTTCTCTAGGGATTTTTTACAGTACACACATTTTAGTGTCTTATAAAAGGAAAGAAGGATCAATCTGAATACATCTTGCTGAAGTGCTTTAAATATATAGCAGTTAAGGAAAAACCCAAGAATATTATTAAAAAAAAATAGTTTGAAAGCCTGAGTTTCTCAGAGCTCAGTCATTGAGCCATTTGCTTAGTTCCACCTATGCCCCTCCCAGCAGATGTACTGCAAATCCTGAGCCCAGTTTCCAAAGAGACCAAGAAGGGGAAAGTTCATTTGGATTAAGAAGAGCAAGTTTTGTTTATCTGCTACCTTTGCATACTTCCCAGAAAACCAATCACTTAGAAGTGGGCCTTGAAATTTCTTTGGTCGAAGATTTTGCAGTAAATGAAGTGATTTCAGAGAAGTATGGAAACTACTGTAGCTGCTCTTCCAATCTAAATACCTTTTGAGCCAAATGACAAGACTCACCTCTCGGTTTCTGTTGTATTTTAAGGTGCGTTTTGTGAATTCTCTAATTGATGGCAATAAAACCATTCTATTTGGATCTTTAAAATAAATCCTAGACAACATTTTCAGGAGATTAGTCTTCAGTACAGACAAGCCCCTGTGCAAATGGTATATGCTTAATAGAGACAGAAGATCAAAAGCTCAAAGTCTATAATAAGTGTCCCCCACAAACACACAAGAGAAGATACTTAAAAGCTGAAGGGCAGTTAGAAGCTCTACAAAGTAAAAGCCCTTTATGACATTCAGAAGCTGACCACACTCGATCTTGTCTGCTATACCTCACTTGAGTAGTTTTCTTTCATTAAAAACAGCCCTTTCTGGCACAGAAGTTCTATAGCTTTGCAGCGAGTGTCTCTGAAAGCAGCCTTATGAGGTACGAACTACTTCACATTTCACACACACTCCTTGAAGAGAGGACAGATGTCCACAGGTGAAGTGCCGTTAAGACTGGCCCAGCGTGTAACTCACGGCAGCCCAGTGAGGGGTTGGGTTCTGATGGCAGGTCCGAATGGGTTGTCAGGCTTCTGCGTGTCCTGGACCTTCAGGACATGGACTTGCCTCAGGGGTAACTCTCAGAGGTACAGAGCCCAGCTTTGTCACCTTAATCCACATGCTACTTAGTACGCAAACTTAGCACAAGAACATTTTTTATCTTTACGTTTAGAAGATCAGTGATACAGTCAATTAACTAATGGGCTACTCGTGTTACACGTGTTCAGCATAAGGAAGGTTAGAAGGACACGACGCAAGTCAGTTCACTCAGGACACCACACCAAATCACTGACCACACAAGACTTCACTGAAGACCACAGGAACCTGTCTGAACAGGAACGGGAAAGTGATGCAGACACCCAAGGGTTCAAGTTTCCCACGCGAGACACTTCACTGAAAGTCACTCGAGGACTGGTGCAGACGGAAGGGGGCAGAGAAAGGCTGACGTGGCACTGACTCCTTCCTCACCCGTCACTTCTGACAACACGTGGCTCACACCACTGCTGGGGACACGCAGGGAAAGGCCATTGACTGCGACAGGAGCGGGCGAGAAACAAATCACCAGAAGACCAACTCAAAAAACGTGTGGGGAGGATAAACAGCTTCCTTTTGTGTTCAGTAACGTCCTCTGCAATTTCGCTACCAGAGGAGGATGCTTGATGAGCATATTTATTATGCCAACAATGTAATTTAACAAAGCTTTGATGCTGTACAGCTGTACTCAAACTTCTTGGAAGCTCTTTCTGCAAATAATTTCAGGTAACTTGGCAAAGTAGAAGGCAAAGAAAGCACCTAAAAGATACAGCTTATTAAAAAAATTTATTTCTTTTTACTTAAGCAATACCAATACATACAAATTAACAGATGAACAAAGTTTCCTCAAAACAATACAACATGGCAATTAAATAGGAAACACCTCCAACAAAAGATTGTTTTTAAAATATTTTTTGCCAATTCTTCCATTGTGAATTATTTTTTAAAAATCTTATTATGTAAACAATTATACACTGCTCATTCTTTGAGAAGGACAGTACCGCATTGGATGGAACGAGAAGTGTTAGTAGCCATGATATTTCTCTTTCCACCCACCAAGAACTTCTGTCAAGCTCCCAAGTTCTCTTCTGTTCCCTGAAGAATTTCAAACTAATTCACACAGCAAAATTGTATAGGTTAAGAAGTGAGTCGATGCCTTCACCTGAAAGATCGTATAATAAAGGGAACCGTGCCCAAAGGAAAATACAAACCTAGCCACGGAGACAATTAGTGCTGGCACACTCCTGTACCTTTCCCCCATACACTACTCGCATAACAGCCCATCAAAAGGGGGAAAATCCCACATAAAGAGACAAAGGAAGCGATCCCTCCCTTCGAGCCTGAAGCCTAGAAAGGCATACGTGCCCCTTCCTGTTACTGCTGGAAAGCCTCACTCCCCATGTAAGGGAGCCAAAAATTACAGAACCTGAGAAGAAAGTTATGTTTGGTGAGAACTGCATGATCACTTTTAGCTCAGTGGTTCTTTTCCAGAATACTCTTTACCCTGTTTCTCCATAGGATGTTGCTGCTACCAAGGAACAACACTATCATTCACCCCCCAATTCTGCACGTGCACTTCATTCAGTTTTTACACAGTCCTCCGCTGCGTAAATCAGCTGTAGTCTCAGCACCTGATGAGCTGCAGCTATTGGATTGCTTTCACTCTTTACGCAACAAAACCAAAAGAAACATTATGGAAACACTGGTCCAAACATTTAGCCAAAAATTCAATGCAACTTGTCACCCTGTCCCCCAGCCCAAAGATCTGCAGCTATTACCAAATAAGAACCTGAAAAACCACATGTAATGTTATTTATCACTGCCTAACAAATCACTGCCCAGAAATGCCATGAAAATCATCCTGTAATTAAAAGAGGCTTTCTATAGGCTTAATGTGTTACTAATAAGATGAGAGGTCATTTTAAAAGACAGATAGAGTAAGTGATTTAATGACGGTAATAAATTTTCCATTTCCTATTTAATGAAATAGTCACTTTTTGTTGGCTGAGGGTTTAGAAACATACGAAGATAAAAACTTAAAGTGAAATAATCCAGGAAACAATTTACATACTTGGGATGTCGGATGTCTGGCAGGGACCGCTCCAGTGCTATATTGTTGCTAACAAATATGTTGAAGCCATTTTCCCTATAAGCAGAATCATCATGGTCTTCCTCTGTAAGAGGGTACGGCTTTCCATGTTCCCCTTTCCC